CCAAATAAGAGATCATATTTAATTTTGTCTCTAGCTTGAAATTGCTTCCTGATTTTCTGTTTGCAATGAGAAAAAAATGAAACTTTGATTCTGTTTTTGTAAACTAAACAAGATTATTATAGAAATAATTTGTACATACTGTAAAAGCAAAACATTGCGGTTGGAATGTTGTTACCTTTGACTAAGGCAAAGAGTGTCCAAAGTTGATGTCTTTTTCTTTTTTCCCCCCTCCCATTACACTATACCCCCTCTTTTCCCCTTCCTCTCTTCTTTTCCAAGGTTTTTTCTTGGTGTTTTATACTTCAATAAATTAATAAAAAAGTTAAATCGAAAAAAACCACTCATGAACATTCATGAAAATACTAGGGAAGCACTTCCAGGCATCAAGATGTAGATGATACACAAAGTAATTTCTACTTCTCCTGTCTTTATCCCTTTCCCCAACGATAGGAAACCAAGATTACACTTACCATAAAGTAGATTTAGCCTAACTATTCATCTCCTTTCTGCTTTATTTGACAAAGGCCACATGTGGCATTTTTTGAAACCAGAATTATACAACCACTAAGGAATTCCATAGATCTCCAAATCTTTGTTGAGAGATGGGCCTAGTTTGACTGATCACAAATTTAAATTTCCAATTCTAATCTCCTTGTTTTGTGCTTTGCTCAGCAATAGCAGTACCATATGCTGAGTCCCCAAAGGAAACTAGAGGTCTATTACTGCTCCCCCATATAAACTGCTAATCTCTTCCTTCCCACCTGGGTTGGGAACCCAGCAGCTCTTTCAGCTTCACCAATAGACGGAGATGATTCAGTGAACATCGGTGACTCCATTTTGTCCACTGGGAAGGAGAGAGACAGAATAGAAACAGGAAAGGGTTCAACTTCATCTTTTCTAGCTTGAAGGGACAAATTAAGATCTCTTCCTGTTCTGCCCAGGAAACCTCCATTTTTGCCTCTTCTACACATTGCCTTTCATAGGCTCCATCATGGGAGCCAAGAATAAAAGGAAAAGACCAAACCCACCACACGCTGAAGAACAAACCTCAGTTAGATTGTTCTCCTAACCTTTTGGAACAACACATGGAAGTATATACTCTTGGCAACCAAAGTGTTTCCTCAATCACTGTAAATCCTTCCCCACCCAACTCTGCAGTTTGAAACCAGGGAAATTATTGATATTCTAGCAACCCAGAAAACATGCCTGCAAGGGCAGGTGGTGCTGGAAATGGCCCAGCAGGGATCTGTGTATGAATTTAGTCAAAACTATTACTTAAGGATGGCCAGAAACAAAGAAAAATCTTTCAGGATGGAGAAGGAGCCAGAATGCAAGTCAAAGTATTCCCTATATAGGCTTGATCTGAAGGGAGGGAAATCCTTTGTGCAACTTAAGTCTTCTAGCTTGAAGATATCTTTCCTTTTGGGTCACCTTCTACCAAATCCAACGACTAAGACACAAGATACAGAGAATTAAGGATAACTAGAATCTCTCTAGAAAATCTCCAGTCCAGTCTCCCCTTACCTTGTGAGGAATCCAGACCTTGACTTCTATCTTTGGAGATCCCTCTGAAAGATAGATCAGGAGAAAGTTTTGTGTGATCCGCCCAATTACTCCCCGTTCATGGAAGGACCTCAGAACCTGAAATATAAGCAAAGAAGGGGACAGGACAAAAGAGGATCTGAATGTTATTTTCTGACCAAAAAACCCTTGTGTCCATCAGTGGTGACACCCAATAGGAGAATAGCTCCAAACGAGATACTCTTTGGAGGGAAGATAGAATAATTTCGCTAATGAGGTTCTCTAAATATCTATTGGCATTAGTAATCTCCAAAACTCCATCAGGGAGAAATGGAAGAGTTTTTCCCCCAAAAAGCTTCTCTGACCTGGGGTCCTTCCTGCTTCTTCTCTTCTCTTCCCGCTCCGTCCCCTGGGGAGGATCTGAGTGGTGGAACCCACCACTTGCCCGCCCCCACCAGATTCCCAGAGAGCAACTCGCAGCCGGAACTACCCGACCAGGCAGACGGAGTAGAGCATGCGTAGTAGACTAAGACTGGGATGAAATCGTGGCTGTGGGGGCAACTTTGGAGGAATGGAGAGAGGGGGGGGGGGGCGAGACTCAAACCGTCACAGCTTGAAGGAAAACAGATACGGGAAAAGTGGAAGGTTTCCTAGGAAGTAAAAGTGACATTCCCTTGTCAAGGGTGAGGGAACGGGAGGAGGCATTGATGCTCGAGCAGGCGGGGCGGGGAGAAGGTGACTGGTAACCCGCCCCTCGGGAGAAGTTAGGGAAAAGGCTGAGGGCTAGAGAACCGGGAGCTTGCGAGACTTCCTCCCTTTTCATCTTGGCCACGCCCCCTCCCTGTGCGATTTCCCTCAGACGGAGAAGAGGGAAAAGTGGCTCCGAGAGGGGTGGGAGGAGCCTATTCCGGCGGGAAGAGCGGAGAGACAAGCGGTTCTGAGGGAAGCGCCGCCATGTGGGGATCTTTGGGGTACTCAGGGAGAGATTCGATTCCTCCTTTCTCTCGGTTAGACCGAATTGGGCCTCCTTCTGGCCCCCTTTTCTCCCTCAGGTGGCCCCCTTTTCTCCACTCCCCAGTGTCCCCCTCAGGATCTCTTTTCTGGTTCTTTGGTGCGAATTCCCTAGGGGACTCTTTGAAATCACCCCGTCACTGAGGCAAATGAATCGGACGATCCCCAGATTGGATCCCCTTTCAAGGACTCGGCCTCCGCTTTCTCCAAAGACCCTTTAGAATAATGACTGTTTCTTTCAGTGCTTCATTTTCAAAGGGGAAAGAGTGGAATCGCTGGATCGACAATAAGGAATATATTTGACTTATTCTATGAATATATTATTTTTAATGATATTAAATGGGAAAGTAAATGTAGATGCTGCCTGGACCTCTCCGCTCTGACTCAAGTGCAAATCCTTAAAAGCCAAAAATATCATCCAAGTTGTAGAAAGAGGCAAAAGACTGAAATTTTCTGGTTCCCCTTTTGAGTCCTCTGGTGTAAAAGAAGAGAAAGTTGGCCAAAACACTTTCAATGATGCATGGATTATCCCCACAGATGTAAAATTACACAATTAGGATGTTCTGCTCAAATTCCATATATTTACAAGGAGTGTAATGGTCTTCCCACATTAAAATAGGCTCTAGTTCCACTGCTTTGTTGCTGCTGTTATAGGTGGATCCTGCTTTGAGCATGCTTTCCTCATTTTCCATGGATAAATGTTCATCATTCTCTATGCTGTGTGAAAATGAATCAGATCTGAACTCTCCACCTTCTACCACTTTCTAACATTTTATTACACTCTTCCCCCCCCCATGAAAATCTCCATATTCATCTGATTTCTTCATTTTTTTTCTTCAATGCATATTAAGTAGGAATCATTTACATTGCACAACAATTATAGTTCCCAATAATTTATTATATTAACCTTGCAAGCCAATATAGTTAATAAGGATATACTAAGACATTTAAAAAGCTATGCTAAGATAAAAAGCACAAAGTCACAATCATACTAGCAAAGAAGTTGTTCCTAACTTGCAATGCCATGGCCCCGTAAAATTTCAAATTAGACTGACCATTCTAATCACCTTGATATCACAAAATCAAAATGGCACTAAAGTGACATTTTAAAACCTTGACCCAATAGAAAATATGGTTCTGCTTATTTACATGGAGAAATGAATAAGTGAATAATTTAAATCAAGCAATTTAAGTCCCTCCTTTAAAAAAAAAGACATTGCTCCTATGGTACAATGTTAGATCTATAAAACCATTTTTAAAATAAAGAGGCATCAGGTGTGATCATAAACTGACGGTTATATTTCTCCTTTCAGCTGGGTTAATGCAAGTTTGCACCAGACAAATACAAGTCTAAGCAGGCATGTACATACAAATATTCAGAATTTTTTTTACTTCTAAATGAAACTTATGTACATAAATGAAAAAAGAATCAACAGCTTATGTACCTTGTTACATGTTTAAAGAAGGTCAATAGTTTAAACACAATTACATTAACTCCACAAAGCGTGGAGCCTGAACAGACTTACTTCAGATGTTTCTTCTTGCCTAGATAAAGCAGCTTGACCAGACAGGTTTTGACAGATTTTTGACACAACAAACGCAACAATTTACATTATAAAGATCACACTTGGATTATTGCATCCAGTTTTGATATAAAAAAGATGTGGAGACTCTGGAAAGAGTAAAGAGAAGAGCAACAAAGACGACCAGGGCTAAAACATATGAAGAACAGTTGCAGGAATTGGATATGTTTAGTTTAATGAAATGAAGGACTAAGGTGACATTACAGCAGTGTTCAAATATGTGCCACAAAGAACAGAGCATAAAATAATAGGATGGGAAGAGACTTTGGAAGTCTAGTCCAGGGTCAACCCATTCTCCAGAGCACCTGAAACCAGGACAAGAAGCAATGGATGGAAACTAATCAACAAGAAAACCAAGGTAGAACTTTCCTGACAACTTTGTGTCCAGAAGTTGTAGGTGCTCCATCCAACATTGGAAGTTTTTAAGGAAACATTGAACATCCATTTGTCCGAAACAGTATTGGGTTTCCTGCTTGAGCAGGGATAGAAGATCCCTTCCAACTCTGTTATTGTTAATTTAATAATATATTCTCATGAGCCGAATCCGACTGTGGTAAAATGGTATTAAGATGGTATTAAGAAATCTATCTTGGAAGTTCTTTCCAAAATCCATATTTTTATGCAGTTTCTCCTATGGCAGGCGATTCTCAAAAAAAGAGGACTGTTTACCTCAGGTGTCTTCCACAAGATCCTTGAACCAGTCCCTTTATGGGAATTAACTTGATTTCTTCATATTAAGGTTTTCCATACACTATGCATGACTTTCCCCCTCTGGCTTTTTTCATAAGAGTACTGTTTTCATAAAACCCTTCTCCGCTTCCAACACATTTCTACTGTTTTTCTCTTGTATGTACTCTTTTATGAGAATTTAGATGACTTTTCAACCGGAAGTACTTACCACACACTGTGCAATGATACAGCTTCTCCCCTGTGTGGATACTAACATGTTTAGTAAGAGAACCTCTCGTAACAAAACTCTTTCCACATTCATTGCATATATAGGGCTTCAACCCTGAATGGATCCTTTTATGACAAGTCAGGTGGCTATTGTGACTGAAACTCTTCCCACATTCCATACATTTATATGGTTTCTCTCCTGTGTGGATCCTCTTATGGGAAGTAAGGGAATCACGATGACTAAAGCTCTTTCCACATTCCAGGCATCTATAGGGTTTCTCTCCTGTGTGAATCCTTCTATGAGAAGTCAGGTGGCCATACCAATTGAAGGTCTTACCACAGTCCATACATTTATAAGGTTTTTCCCCTGAATGGATCCTTTTATGATAAGCAAGGACACTGCTCTTACTGAAGCTCTTCCCACACTCTAGGCACTGATAGGGTTTTTCTCCCGAATGGAGCCTTTTATGATAATTAAAAGAACTGTTTACACTGAAGCTCTTTCCACATTCAGTACACTTAAAGGGTTTCTCTCCTGTATGGATCCTTTTGTGGGAAGCAAGATCACTGCTTCGGATGAAGCTCTTCCCACATTCTGTGCATTTATAGGGTTTTTCTCCCATATGGATCCTTTTATGATATCTAAGAGAACTGTTCATACTGAAGCTTTTTCCGCACTCAACACACTTATAGGGTTTCTCTCCTGAGTGGATCCTTTTATGAGAGGTAAGGGAACTGTTCATACTGAAGCTTTTTCCACAATCCGTACATCTATAGGGTTTTTCCCCGGTGTGCATTCTTTTATGAGAGGTCAGGTGATTGCTGTTGCTGAAACCCTTTCCACACACTGTGCATATGAAGGGTTTTTCTCCTGTGTGGATCCTTTTATGGGAAGTAAGCTGACTACTGTGGCTGAACCTCTTCCCACACTCTAAGCACTGATAAGGTTTCTCTCCTGTATGAACCCTTTGATGAGAAGTAAGGGAACTTTTCATACTAAAGCTTTTCCCACAGTCTTCACATTTATAGGGTTTTTCTCCCGTGTGAATTCTTTGATGAGAGGTAAGGGAACTTTTCATACTAAAGCTTCTTCCACACTCCAAGCATTGAAAGGGTTTCTCTCCAGTATGAACCCTTGTATGAGAAGTAAGAGAACTGTTCATACTGAAGCTTTTTCCACACACTAAGCATTGATAGGGTTTCTCTCCGGTGTGGATCCTTTTATGAGAAGTAAGAGAACTGTTCATACTGAAGCTTTTCCCACATTGCTGGCATTTATAGGGTTTCTCTCCTGTGTGAATCCTTTTGTGAGAAGTCAGGTGGCCATGCCAATTAAATGTCTTTCCACAGTCTGTGCATTTATAAGGCTTTTCCCCTGTATGGGTCCTTTGATGAGAAGTCAGATGATCTCTGTTCCCGAAGCTTTTCCCACATTCCAGACATTTATAAGGTTTCTCTCCCGTATGAATCCTTTTATGAGAAGTAAGGGAACTTTTCATACTGAAGCTTTTTCCGCAGTCTGTGCATTTATACGGTTTTTCTCCTGTGTGGATCCTTTTATGGATGGTCAGGTAACTGCTGCTGCTGAAGCTCTTTTCACACTCCAGGCATTTATAGGGTTTTTCTCCCATATGGGTCTTTTTATGGGGAATAATGTTGCTATTGTTGCTATAGCTCTTTTTAATTTCAAAGTCATTACTAATCACAGATTTTCCTTTTAATATTTCCCCACTCCTTTGAGTGTTGTGCATATTCCTTTCCTTGACAATGCATTGGGTCAGAAAGTGATCCATTTCTGCATGCTGAAGAGTGAATATTTCATTGCCATAGTAAGTTTGGTTTTTTTCATATTTCCTCATTCCCCACTTATCTGCAGATGTTTCTTCTGGTATTTCAATTTTTATTATTTGCAATGGCACCAGATTTGGCACTTGGTAATTCTCATTCTTCTGCTCATCAACTGCTTGGGGGATAGAGGAGAAAGGAAATCAGAAATGTCAGATGTCCGATGACAGAACATACATATCATTGCAAAATACCTTGTGAACTCTTAAGTTTCCTCTTTCCACTATGCATTCAAAATGGACAGTGATATATTTATTTATTTATTTATTATGGGTACAGGTATATATGTATGTATATAGCATGTGTATATCTGTATTATGTATGTGTGTATGGGTAGGTATATACTTGCTCTTGAGATCAGGCAACAGAATTTCGTTTTTAATGTAAGCCAGTATACTCTCAGTAAAATATGACAATAAAAGTTATCTTAAATCTTAAAATAATTGTAGGAGAAAATGTGGTGATAAGGACAATTGAAATAAGCATAAACATCTATACAGTTTTCTCAAGGTGTAAATTAAGCTAATGACTCCTTACTCTGACTGAAATTTTCTTCCAGAGGAACCCTTACCTAAAGAGGCTATGATTCTACATGTCTCCACCATGACTTCTCGGTGCAAGGTTTTCTGCCTGGAATCGAGCAGCAACCACTCTTCGCTGGTGAAATGAACGTCCACTTCCTCAAAGGACAGAGGACCCTGAACAAGGAAGAATTCCTGTGAGCAGACTCAGGAAAAATTTGCAAGATTTCCTTTAATCTGCAAATCCTAAAAACACAGTGTTATGCTTATGTGGACATTTCCCTGGCTGAGCTCAAGATGTTATGTGATATCACCAATCCTGCATCTCTCTTTTTATCTGTGTGTAAGTAATTTACACTAAAAGGTGTAAGTTGTAACTTTCATTAAAAATCCACAACATAAACAATCCATAAAGGGGTCCACCAGCCCCTTTAACTCTTTCCTGGACAAAAAGCTGGGAAGAGGCTAATTTGTAATGCATCCCAAACCAACACTGATAAAGCTTTTAAAAGCCAAGCTGGAGTCAGGGGTGTCTTTGTTCTTTATCCATTTTGGATGATCTCCTTAAAGCCCAGAAGAAAAAGCCATTAAATTTTGAAAAGAAGGAATAACAGTGTATATCTTTTATTCCACTGTCTTTTTGTAAATTAGGTTCGCAACCTCCTTATGGCCTTCCCAAAATGATCAAGGATGGCGCTATCCTTTGCTTGTTTTAAAATGTGAACTATCATTTTTAAGTCCAACCACGTATTATCACTAAAGAATCCAACACATTTCCAAAACAATCTAGAGAGACAGACCAAGTGTGACCGATCTCTAATTTGAATCCTAATTTCCCCGTCCCACGTTGCTCAGGAACAGCAGTATCATATGCGTAGACTTCAAATGACCCCAAAGCAGTCTTCAACTGCTCCCCAATATTAGCCCCAGATCTTTTCATTCCTACCTGAGCTGAAAGTTCACCTGCTCTTTTAGCTCCACCAGTACAGAGAGAGGAACCAATGAAGAACGGTGACTCCATTTTGTTCCCTGGGAACGACAGATGGGATAAAAACAAGAAAGGGATTAACTACATTTTTTGAGCTTGAAGGCATGACTTACTATTTCCTCTTGTCCCAGGGAGGAAACCTCTACCTCTCACTCCTATGTTTTGCCTCCATATTGAGAGTCAATAAAAGAAGCCCACAGCCCCAATACACACTGCAGAACAAACCACAATTGGATTGTTCTCCTAACCTATTGGGAAGGAAGGAGACAAGGAAGTATACTCTTGGCAAACAAAGCATTCACTCAAGCAACGTTTATTCTCTCTCCATCACCTACAACCTGAAACCATGTTGTTCTGGTATCCCAGAAAGACCAACCATTCTGGCAACAACCATTCAACTGAAATTCTGGCACCCCAGGAACATGCAAGGACAGATTGTGTTGGAGATGATCCAGAAAGGTTCTGCAACAGAATTCACTCAAAATTATCAAGACTGATTGCCCCAATCCCCATCAGTGAGAACAAAGAAAAATAGCTCAGGATGGAGGATCCAGAATGCAACACAGGGCGATCCCCAGACGAGTCAGTCTTTTGCAAAAGGGGAATTATGGAAAAATAGTCTATGAACTGAAGGGAGGGACTTTGTTCATGAAACTGAAGCCTTCTAGCTTGAAGAGGGAGAGTTAAGGCTTTTTTGGTGGGTCATCTAATAAGTCCTACAACTAGACATGAGAAGACACAGAGAATTAAGAACAGCTAGAAGCTCTCTGGAAAACCTCTAAACATGTAGAGCATTGCCTTACCTGGTGAGACATTTTGACATCGATGTTTTCCCTTGGATATCCCTCTCAAATATGACTTCTGAGTAGGGTTTATGGGATCTACCCTTTCTTCAGGATAATTAATCCCCACCTCCAGGAAGGATCTTAGAACCTGAAATATTTGTGAAGAAGAATTAAGAGGGCAGGAGATAAAGAGGATCTGGATTTTCATTTTGTGCCCACAATGTTGCGTGTCCTCAGTGTCCATCATTAAGGATAAAAAAGGATAGTGGAAGAATTGCTCCAAAAGTGTCCTCTGGAACACTTTCCTTAATGATGATCTCTAAATATCTGGTTGTGTCTATCTCTATATATAAAAGCGAAATACCACTCACGCATCATCACAAAATATCCAGAACCACAAAGCCTATAAACTTGAAATTTGGCACATACATTCCTCTTGGCTTCTAGGTGCTCATTAAGAAAGGATTTTTCAAAATGACCATCAGAGCATTAGTATTTCGTATATTATTATTATTAACACGCTCTGATGCTAAGGAGTTCTACTCCCCCTCCCCACCTGAAAAAAAATCTGTTCCAAATGCAAAACACAAGCAGAGGAGTTTCAGTTTCAATTTCAGAGCACCAAGCAGCTTTAGTACAGAACAGTTGAGCTAAGCCACGCCCAGGCTCCTTGCTGTCTCCTTGCTCACACAGCAAATACTGCTTCAGTTTCCAAACAGCCCTTGACTCTCTCACACACTGACAGGACGCTAGCCAGATGAATACTGATGGATGCTGGAAGGCAGAGGCAGAATTTTCCCTTTATTTTCCTCCCCAAAAACTAAGCCCGATCACATAGTTTCATAGCGAAGCATGGATATAGAACAAGTTATTAATACCCCAAACTCCCTTAAACAGACAATTTAGAATTCAAGCAAATGAAAACCCATATCTTTTTCCCAAGAGGAGTGTCTCCCACCTGATACCCTTCCTGCTCCTCCTCCTTCGCCTGGCTTAGCAGGAAACCTTCGGCCAGGGCCACTGCCTGGCAAGTGGTCTCCGCTCGGCACTCCCGCACCCAGCGCTGCATCTCCCTGGGCAGGACGGCTAGAAACTGCTCCAAGATCACCCGGTCCAACATCTGAGCCTTGGTGTGCTTCTCGGGCTGCAACCACCCCCAGCAAAGACGATGAAGGCGGCTGCAAAGCTCTCGCGGCCCCTCGGCCTCCTGAAAGGGGCTGTTCCTGAAGCACCAATGCTGGATCTCAGAACTGAGGGCTTCCTTCTCCGGGATCTTCCGCCTGGGTCCTGCCCAGAGCTCCCCACAGTTCCCAGGCTGAGCGGCAATGGGGTCTTTCCCCACGCCTTTCCATTCTGGGTGGATTGCATCCATTTTGGCCTCTTCTCTGACAGGGATCCAGAAGGTCTCTGCGGATCTCCTGGTCTGCGGAGGTCTTTTCAGTCCTGCACTCTGAAGGAGTTACATAGAGAGGCCCCAGAGAAGATTTTCAAGCCATTCAGTTCTCTCAAGAGGCCTCCAGCTTTTACATCTGAGGAGGAAAAGAAAGGAAACGTCAACCCTGAGCTACGAGCATTCTTCTTTAACGGAATCTTCCGGAATTACCGACTGTTCTCCTTCAGAAACAGTGATTGTTTAATCAAAAACGAGGGCAAAAAAGTGACATTTTGGAAGGGGGGGGAGGGCCAAAAACCAGGTGTTTTGAGGCTCAGGGCACGGTCTGTTCCTCTCTCCGCCTCAACCCCAGGTCCCCTTGGAGACCAGCCCTCATTTTGGAGGAGGGTCTTCTGCAGAAGTGCAGCTGAGCTCCACTGACAGCAAGAAAAATATGGAGGGTCTTACAGACCCGGCCAGAAATGAATTCCTGAGGCACAGAATCGGACCTTTCCAATGCCTCCCAACCCCCAAATAGCTAGAAATAGGGACCCTTTGCAGAAGGCAGGGGAGTGCCAGGCAGGATTTTTTCCCCCCACCGCTCGGAACGCTGCGAAGCAAATCTGGTTTACGCCCAATGCGAGCACTTGGTTGGGCTTCCCCTCCCTCCACTCTTTCTCTCCCACTCACCCACCCCTAATGTCGGATCCCTTGCTTGCAAAGGCAGGAGCAGGAGTGGGTGTCTCCCCTACCCTGCCCAGTCCAGCAAACCCTCCGGCGTCCCTCCATCTCTCCTCCGGCTTCTTTGAAGGGCGAGGCGGACTTTTCCCCGCCTGCGAGAACCGGCCGGACAGGCTCTGTCTCTGGGTGGAAGGGGGCTGCTCCTCCCGCGAGGAGGCTCTGGGTCGCGGGAGCCCCTCCAGCCCGAACCCCACGAATCCCCCCAAAGCGCAGCCACAACCGGTCCACCCAAGGTAGGCAATCGTAGCGGAGCATGCGCAGTGGAGAGAGAGAGAGAGAGAGAGAGAGAGAGAGAGAGAGAGAGAGAGAGAGAGAGGTGCGCCCCCTGGTGGCACTTTTTTTTAAAGAATAAAATAGAATTCTTTATTGGCC